TTGTCAAATCTCGACATAATTGCCCCAGTTTAAGTGCGCTTTGAGGGATAAAATCCCGACTTGAATGCCTCAGATTGGATGAATACCTACTCAACAAAGTTTTTAACATGCTTGCCCCTACTCAGCAGAGTCTCGACACATCATTTCCTTCATATCATGCTTAAGGAGAAATGAGAAGCTCACCGAGTTTTGAAGATGACACCTCCTTAGCTTAGTTGACTTGCGTCTTGAAAGTAGGCTATTACACAACCATATTTCTCAACTTGAACTGATTTATTCTCGAGAAAATACTTGAAGCAATATGTCCCTTGGGACCAACTGAAATTAATGCACCACTGCTCGACAAAGACTTTAGGCAATCAACTTTTGCAATCTACTTCAGATCATTTCTCAAACTGGTATTCTTTTACTCAGCGGAGTCAATAGAAGTTCTGTCCCAGATTAAGATCATTCTCAAAAATGATTTGCACTTCAACACATCCTTAAGCAATTTGTCACTTGAGATAATCAAACTTCCATCTGATGCTTATTTTGCAAGCTTACTTAATGTTTAAGCACTTGTTCATATGCAAAGAATTTTTATTCTAAGAATGATAATTCTAATGCAGACTCATGTTTGTCTTGAAATTTAAAAACTTGTATTGAAAATATGTTGAAACATCAAAAATCTTTGTACAAAATATAGTAAAAGGATGGAGCTATACCAACTCAAATGTCTCAGCAAACCTCCCAGGAGTCAGATTACCGTACTCTCGTTACAGTATTGCTTTCGAATTAACCCTTGCTTCAGTTAGGACTTTTAAGGGTTGTAACATGGTTTGGTTTATGGTTTTAGAAAAAAGGATTTAAGGCTCAAAATTATTTGGTGCCCACCCCCTTCATGATGTTCGCCAATCCTAAGTTCAGTTAACTTGATATGAGCACTCATCTCTCAAAAATAGGTTACGATGGTTAAGGAGTCAAACGAGGTTTTTCTGGACACGACAGTCACTCGCCTCTTTCGTTATTGGTGTATGGTCACACGACTTTGTTCATTGCTAAGGATATTTTTTGTAATCCTTTTTTGCTTTTTGCTTTCTTTTTGTTCTCCCTAACTTTTGCCTGGGCAAATTTGTTTTGATCTTTACTCTGAAGTCCAGCAGGATGCCCTGACTTTTGCCTAAGCGACTTGTTTTCCAAGTTTCGACTTAGCAAGGCTTTTTGCCTCTTTCTATCATCATTTCTTTTTGTATGAACTAGTCGTGTGACTTTGAGTCGTTTTCGACTTGTTGGAGGTGATTGTGACTGCCTGAGTGTTTGGTTGACGAGGGATAACTATTGTTGTATCGTCATTTGTAGACCTCTTGATATGTGAGATATAACCATTATGGTATCATTCTCTTCTATACACATTGCTGATATATGAGGGTTAACCATTGTGGTTTTGACTTTCCTCAGCCATTTGATGGATAACCGTTGTTATATCCTTAGATGCGCACTCCTGATAAGTTCTGAACGCTCGATCGGATTAACTGAAATCTACCCTGCCCCGGGTTAAATGTGAGGGTTTTCCTTTATAAGAAAAGAAACTCCTACTTCAAGGCTCAAAGGGGTTAACGAGGGTCTATCTCCCTTATATCTCTGGTGTTTAGGAGTTGAAACAATGCTTGTACATCGTCAGCAGGGTTTTTATTCAAAAGCATACCATTTGAGATTCTTGGTATATTACTCATCACCCTCCCTCCAGAGGTACTTTGCTTTATTTTCATGAATTAAGTATCAACAAGCAAAGAAAAAAATATTAATGAGTGAATACGAATGGATTAATTGAAGACAAACATATCCAATGCATTATGATTAATATTCAAGAATAAGCAAATTTTGCGTACAAGAAAGTACTGAACCAAACAAGAAAGATTACAAATGAGAATGAAAATGTAATTTGAATTTTCCATGTTGAGGAGACTAGTCTCCCTATGGACTTGTTGATTCAGTCGATGCTCCGGCAGTCTTGACATTCACTGAGTCAAAGGAGACTTCAAATCTGATTGGCTGGCCCGAAATTGATAGCATTTGCATCAAGCAGGTCTAGCACCTTATCTGTGAATGCTTTAAAAACTTCAGTTGAATGGTCAGATTCCCCAGGATGGTAATCACATCGGATTCCATCAACAGATGTGATGAATGCTTTATCAACCGAACTTGCATAAACTACATCACAAAGTATCTTCTACCATAGAGAAAAAAACGCCAACCATCTTCTACTACACATAAGGGACAATCAATCTCTGGATTCTGAAGCGTCTCCTACTACACAAAAGAAGCAACGTCTTCTATTACATAGAAGCAATATCCAGCAACCATACCAAAGGATCTTCTACTACATAGGAGAAAGTAAACTTCATCTCCTACTTCATAAGAGAGAAGTTTTAGGAACTGAATTATGGAGAATCTCCTACTTCACAAAAGAGTCTTCGTCTTCTACTACACAGAAGCAAAATTCAGAAGTTGTAACAAAGAATCTTCTACTACACAGAAGAAACTAAAATCTGAATGTAGAATTCAACCTTTGAGGTATTTTTCTTCTACACAACAGCAGATGTCTAAGAACTTGGAAACTTATTCTTCTTCATCTTAGAAGCCTCACCTCATCTTCTACTACACAGAAGAAGCACTTAGCTGAGAAAAAAAAGAGTTTGGACCGGTTTTCCAAACATGGACTAAACCTTGGAAAATAAGCTAGACAAGTGCCCTTCAATATCATAACCAGGTGCCCCAGAATGGGAGACACATCCAGTATTTTCATCGAAATCAGGAGAGAAATTTGTGGGAGGATGACCCAAAGCACGAAGCTTAATCAACTGAGCTTCCAACACACGAGGAAGTAACTGGATACAAAGTATAGAGATTGTATCAACCTTCTTCTCAAGCTTCTTCTGCCTTTGCTGATAAGCTTTACCCCATGGGTTCACCTGGAGACCAGAAACTAGTTGCTGACGAGAAAATCTGGGAACACGAAGCTATGGGTGAGACCCACAAAGTATCTCATGATTTGAAAAATGTCCCATGGGCTGAGGATGAATGACAGCTCCTGTTGCAATAGCGTATACAGGATCACTTTTCTTTGTTTACACTGTCTTTAAAACTTCCATACCCGACTCAACTGAGTCTTCAACTGGCTATTTTTTTCCCTTGAGGATTTCTGACTATAAGCCATTGCTTTCATATCCACAATAAACAACCCCATCTGATTTTTTTCATCTCATCGTCTCATCTAATTCGCCACAAAGTTTTTTCATAACTTGAATCTGATCACAAAGCGACGAGAAGTCAAGATTGGCAGTTCTGAAAAGAAAATTCTGAGTCTGAATAAGGATTCCCCATTCTGAGTACCTGTTATGGATGCATGAAGATGCGTGAGGTGAATGAGCGGATGCAATGCTGTGTTCAAACATCTTTTTTTTATGCATACAATCTTTCACATTTCTTTTTGTTCTGTGTAAAATAAACATGCTATAATTCAAGGTGCAATGACATAGGTTCAAAGGTTCAGCATAACTACTGTACAATCCTCTGGATAACTAATGTATAAATCTGTTAAATAATCCGAATATCACAGAGTCAAAGGTTTGGTGCCAATTTCAGAACACAAAGGAACCAAGTACCATGAATAAGCGTTGTATAATCTTTGGACAAGATGAATATATCAGGATCAAAGGTCCAAAACATAACCAAAGAACCTTCCTGAATACCGAATCTAGAAACTCAGAAAATAAATCTGAGACCCACATAGTCACCAACAGAACAACGGTCATCATCAGAACTTAGTCACCATCTGTACCAGTAATAACCAAGTCCCTCCCCTCTCACGGGTGGAAACTAGGTCAGGGTAAGGTCAGGGACTCAGAATCGGGGGTACTCCTGAAAAACTATCGCCATATAACCTACGTGAAAACGATAGCCCCTCATTTGTACCTCATCTGAGCATGGACGACATGGCAGAAATAGTGAAACCTAAGTCAACTAGCCGTCCATGTTCCACTCTATTCCTAGGGTGCCTAGGGTTGTCACTTGGCCTGAGTATTGGGCCTTTTACCTCATAGTAACACCCACCCCATTATGAAAATAGAGCCAACATAGCAGTATCACCAATATGGAAAGCATTAAATGCAATGCAAACGTATGCATAAATAAACATGTACAAAATGAACAAGCTATAAAGCATAAAAATAAACACCCAAGGAAAAGAAAATAAGAGCTAGGGTCGACTCCGAGATGGATCAGAAATAGGTCAATCTATCCCCAATGAAGTCGCCAGCTGAAACAATCGGCTGAACAATCAACTGATAATGAAATCAATGAAGTCGCCATCAAAAAATTTTTATCCCACAGAAGGGGAAAGGTAAACATCGAGTAAACCTGAGAAGGGTGAAATCAAGGTCGAACGACCAAGAGATACGGGTAAGGGAGTATGTTACGCGAGGGGAAGGTATTAGCACCCCACACGCTCTTAGTACTCTATAGTATCCACTCTTGTTGTCTATCATATGGGTATGTAAGAATTTATATCTAAATTGTATAGGGAATGCATGCAAAAGAAAATAGAATATAATGTAGGGAAAATAAAAGTTGTGCTTGCTCGGGCCCTACCCCAATGCCTACGTATCCCTTTTAAGGAATTAGAGCAGCCGTAGTTCGGCTCACATGTTTTTGTTGGTTTGTATCTTTTATTGAACAATATTAATTTCGCCTTCTGGAGCAACTCGACCTTTGGAGACTTACGCGTCAGCACAAAAGTGAATTAACATGTTCTTTCGAAAAGTTCTTGAAAGAAAAGCCCGTAGGAAAAAATACTTTGTGTTGGTTGGTGTTTTTGCCGCAGATATTAGCCAATTAATCTCAAGATATAGATATTAGTCATTTCTATACTTATTCATGAAATAAGTCTTTGAGATCTGAACCACACCAAGGCTTAGAACAAAAAAAAAAAAGATCGAGAAGAGACTCGCTTATCATTTCCCATGCTCAACAAAGGTTTGCTTCTCATCCGTAGTTTTTAAGTATTTTGAAGTTTGCAAGAAAAAGAAGTTTTTTGTTTTAATGCAAGGATGCAAAAAGAAAGAAAAACATCTAAGGGAAACAAACCTAGATTTATCCCTAACGTTATCATACAATGATTGATCCTAAAGTTGAGCTTTGAAGGGAAATATCTACCCTAAGTTGACATGCTTGGATAACAATCCTAATGTCTATATCAACTCATCATCTATAGATAAATCAAGAAGTCCTAAAGGAGCATAGCAAGGGTCTATCACCTAAAACTATGTCTATCTCGAATCATCATCTATAGTTGAATCGAGAGCTCCTAAGGTAACATGTCAAGGGTATATTATCTCAAAACATGCACACAAAGATGAAATCAAACAAGCAAGCAAATAAGCTCAAGAGAGTTAGCTCAAGAGAGCACACCTTGATAGATCCTATCTAAGCTAGCATACCAAAGAAGGTCTAAAATAACTATCCTATGGGAAACATGCAATGAGAGAGAAGTCGTGATCTCAATTTCTAAATTGAGTGACTCATCGATCAACAAGAAATAAAGGAAAGCAATAAAATCCTATAGGGAGCATGCACTGAGAGCGAAGTCATGATCTAAATTTCTAAATTGAGTGAATCATCGATCAACAACCAAGGAAACAAACACAAGCACAACACATATAGAAAATGAAGTGCGGAATTCCTGCTACAGGTCTTTAAACAGCGACTTCGAGTGCACGCTCTTTATTTCCTACTTCTCATGATATCTAGAAAGAAGTAAAGTGCAAAATGAGATAAACAAGAGAAAATACCAAACAAATATCAATCCGTATAAAATCCTATCAAAACAAAGAAACCTGACGGTCTTCATGAAAAGCTTCATCAATCAAAGAAAAGAGTCAGAAATTGAATGCTCGGAATAAGTGTTGAAGCATCATCGATGTGGGAATAAATCACAATCGAAATCTCGAGCATATCTGCATATCACACAATAAACTTGCACAAGACTCAAATCTCAATAAGCAAAGGTGAATTTCTAATCTCAAATATAAGGATAATCGGAATTTAATTTCCTGAAACTAAAATAAAAAATCTACAAGTTTTTATTGATTTTATTATTTTTATCATGTAAAAAAAATTCAAACAAGTCTAAACAATTAACAAAATTAGTTAAAAGGAATTACTAAAATAATAAACAACAAGACACAGTCCAGGGGTGAAAACTACAATTCAGGCATTAGGCCCATCATGATTAGACCAATGGAATTTTTTGTAACAATAGCTCTTTGGTCATAAAAAAATGATATGGGCTTGTGGGAGGCAGTTCAGCGCATGAGCCCAAGATACATTCTCAATCCAAAAACACCATTTCCAATTTTCAGCCATTGTTTTGATTAAAAACAAATAAAATAATTATAAACAAAAACAATAAAACGATGCAGTATTGGTGTAGATAGGGTTGTGACTCTTAAACTTCTCAAATGTGAAATCCACCTTCTTTCAAGCGAAAACATAATCTGCCGCACAACCTTCACGTTAGATCAGTGTGGCGATCGTCCGTTTCCGATACCATTCTTCTTCCTCGCCATCCCTGATTGCAAGACAGTGGCGCCGGTCCTCTCAATTTTTTCGTCGTCTCACAATCTCGCCTTCGTCAGCTTGCAACAAGATCAAACATTCTTTTCTGAATTCGTCATGAATAGAAGCCCTAATGTACTCGATATGCCAATGATTCATGCGATGATTTCTGGGGCTTTACTTATACCCTTCATCTTTTTCTGATTCTCATCAAGAAAAGCATAGAAATAGATGAATAAAGTACGGAAATTTGGCATTGATTACCTACCGAAAGAACTGTCTGGCGCTTATTCAACAATCGTTGTAACGACAAGAAATCTGGAGGTTAATTCTCTAATATATTCTTCTTCTTCTTCTATTTTTGTCTTAACTTCTAAGATTATGTGATGTTATTGTTAATTTTACGTCCCATTACAGGAAGTTGTTGCAGCATATTGATGTCGAAGTTACTGATGAAGGATGCATATTCTTGATGCGGAACATTGATGATTGAAGGTGATGATGATTGAAGGTGATGATTAAAGGTGGTGGTTACAGATGTGGATTCGATGAAAATGAAATGATGATAAAGGATGAAGCAGAACAGTGAGAATAACGGTGGAGAGTGAAGGTCAAAGAATGATGAAGATGAGAGTTGCTTCAGGAATTATGCAGCGAGAGAGGATAGATTAAAGGTGGTTAGAGATTCGGTTGCGTTGAACTCAGAGAGAGTATGGAGAAGCCTTTTTTATGGTTTTTTGGTGGTTCTTGCGAATACTGGAGCACGAATATGGAGAGGAGCAAAAAGAATTCTGTTCTTGGTGATTCTTTTGTAGAAAATGAAGGATGAACGAAGATATTTTCGTGATTCTCCTGATGAAGTCAAGAATGTCGCTTGGTGAATGTTGAGTGCGTGAAGAAGATGAGGAGAAAAAATGAAGATGAGAGTGAAGAGAGAGAGCTTGAAGGTTTGCAGATAAAGAGGGTAGAGAGATGAAGACGAAGATTATGAAGAGAAAGTTGGTGAAGTTTGGTGAGGCTGGTTGAAGAAACTTGAAGAAGAGGCAGAGAAATTCAGAGAGTTCTTGAGACTTTTTGTGAGTTTTTCTGGTTGAATAATTATTTGTCAAAGCTGAATCGTGAATGCCCCTCTTTCTTCTTTGTATTCTGTTATATCCCTTTCTGTTTGTTGAATTCTGTTGAGAGTTTGTTATGAAACTGTTATGAAATGGTTAGGAAGTTAGAGGTTCCTGAATTATGTTATATTTATGTTAGGAATTTTTAGAAGTTAGTTGGATTTTTGGAGAGGATAGGAATTCTGTTGGAGAGGAAGTTGTAAAACTGTTTTCACAATTTTTCCATATATTTTCCCTGATATTTTATTTTATATTTTCTGATTATTCTTTATTTAGTGATCTGGAAATCTCTTGTTTCTGATTTATTTTGTTGTACTATCTGCTAGCTTTGACAGTTAACTTGTTTGAAACTCTGTTTTGATTCAGTTAGAGGTTAGTTCAGAAATTCTGTTATGGATGTTATAAGGTGGTTAAGCTGCCAAAGTTGATAGAATTGTCTGGGCAACAAATCTTGAATACTGCCTGACTGCTTCTATTCTCGCAGCTTCTTGAATTCGTTTTTCTGATTTTTAATGCAGGGTTGGGTCCATCTTCTTTCATGTGCAGAATTTTGGTTTTGTTTGGATATTTGATGCCGGAAGCAACGACTTTTCTTGTAGAATATGTGGACATGTTCGAACTAACAACAAAGGGCTTGAAGTAAGTTTTTGGATGGTTAGTGTTTGATGCAGCAGGGTGGTTTTGTTCTGGTATATGGCCTGGTTTTGAACTGTTAAATTCTAAATTTGCAGGGTTATTTATTTTAATTTTTAACCTTATTATTCTGTCTAAATATATATAGGGTTGCAAACACTCATGAGCTGATTCAGGATCTAATAATACCGGTTGCACGCCTTACCTCAAGCCACATATCTGTCCATGGAATAATTAAAATTTGAAGTTTCAAACAGGCCTTGCCCTTCATGCATTGGAGAAGAACTTCGGTTTGCATATGGAAGCAACTGTTTCCCACACACTAAATAATCAAGACCTCTCACTTCGTGATCGTAATTTTTCTGGAGTTCAGTTTCTACTTCATCGGTTTGCATTGCTTCCAATTCAATTTGTTTTGGCCAATGGCATGTTTTTAGTCCCACATGCCTGTCCAAAATAAGCTTCTTTGCATTTTCAGATTCCCGGTCATGGAAAAAGGCAAAGGTCCCCATTTTCTATTCCTTTTGTCTCAACTGTATTAGAGATTCCAGCCAAACTAGCATGTGGACTTGGGAACTCATCATCATTAGAACCATCAACTTGGAGTATCATGATGCTTGATGAAGTTTCAACAGGACAAATGTGATCAATGGAACAAGAAGGCTTTTCCTTTGGTTGGTCTAACTCTAGCGTATCATCAATTGAATCTAGAATATCATTCCACTCCTGCTGCGACTCATTCTCGAAAGCTATATGCACTTTCTCTAGCATCTTATCAACTGTTGCAGCAGGAAGCAAGGGGCTTAAGGCTGTTTCACAAGCAAGTTCGTCATCAGAGTTTATATCCTTTGTCGTTTGAGAAGTTGCAAGCCACTTTAGAAGATTTTGTGCTTCCATATCAGCATCCTTAATGTCCAACATTCTGATATTTCCAACTGATTGCATTTCACCAATTTTCAACAACTTAGGACTTATGTCAGTCCCTTCCTTAAGAAGTTTGGCATTTATACATAGTGATGTTGGTGGCGATGCAGAGTCTATTATGTCTGTTTCTCTGTGATTTTTCTATTATGGATTTGGTTCTGTCTTTGAAATGCTGCAGATTCAGATATTGGGCAAGGTAGATTGGTCTTAACCGTGTGTTTATGACTACTGGTGTAGCAGCAGGGCACGATCGCCGAAGGATGAAGACACGTCAACATTGCTTAATGCCAAACTGGGTCATAGTTCAAGAGGCTGATTGTTATAGCGTGGCTGTTTGGTTTGTACAAGTTTATAAGATTAGGCTTAGGACTAAATTTCCATGTAAAATATTATGAATGACTTGTAATGTATTATGGAACTTGAGTGTTTGAAAGGATTTGGATGAATATTGATTTGAAGTTTAAGTTTTTGGAATTGTAATGGTGAATGGATATGATGTGTATTTTGGATGAGCAAAAACTGATAGTTTTCTTTGTAAATTTATAATGGCAAGATTTTTGTAATGGAATGAAGTTGAAATGGAATTGATTGGATAGAATTTGTATGAAGTTTGAATACTATTGAATAAACTGTTTTAAAAACTTCCATGTGGATAAACCTTGTATGGACAAAATGGTGACATGTGGATCTTGAGCCATAAAAAAAACATGCATTGAACACTTGAATTTGCACTTGAACATATGAAATAAGGTTGAACAATGATGAATGATACTTGAATGGTCATCATGAGATAAGCCCCGACTTTCTTCTTTTGTATTTAAACTTTTCTGCCATTGTTCCTTGTTTGGATAACTTCTTGACATCCTGAACACATATGCTCTTGAAAAACTTAATTTTGATATACCGAGTAAACAACAATGGACCCCTAATCCAATTTAATTTCCCCAAACTAACCCAAATTTGCGTGTCAAGCAAAAAGCGTTAGAAAGAATACCGCCTTGAATTGGTGAAAATGGATATCCAATTGATATTACCAGATAACCAAAATCTTGACCAAAGGATGACCACCACTTGATTACAATGAAGAGAATGCCTCAAATGAAAACCAAATCAAATATAAACACCAAGGATTAGAAACCATAATTCACGCTTGCATCACCTACCCCTAAAACCTTGCATCTTAAGGCAAAGTTGATAGGAAAAACACCCTTGAACCCTGATATGCAGATCCCTAATTGATGAAATAAGGAATAGATGATTCCACTGTATCAATGCATAATCAACCTCTAGGAGCTTCAACAACGAATGTACCTTTGGATTCTAAAAGATAGTCCTAATAAAACCCCAATGGCATCAATACTCTTGACGAAACCTTTATCCCACAAAATAGGAGCAGATGATTCACAAAAATGTTTATGCTAAAGTTCACACTCTTTAGGATATAACCAAATACTCGTCACTTAAGAGAAAGCTTCAGATGAAAGTCAAGTCTTGGTAAGAAAATCCAAGAAGTGGTGACAGAACTTGTAACACTAGTAACAGATGGAAGTCCTTAATTCTGAAGGAAAGAGACTCCACATAGCCATAAGTTGCAACCCTAAACCATAATCCTTGGAGAAGAACTCGATTGGAGCATAATTTCTGAAAACCTGTCTTCGATTTCACATAGGAAAATAAACCCTAATAGCCTCGTAGCTTGATGAAAACAGAAATTCTCAGTGACGCAGATTACAACCCTAATTCCACCATTTACTGTTTGAATAAGAAATCAGCCTTTATTAGATTTGTATACTTCGATCACAATGAAACCTTGATATTGCCTGACCTCTGAACTTTAAACCTCCAGGCACTTTATCGAATGCAAATGTATGTTAATGACCTAATGGAATATATACAGATGAATGCAAAGTCTAAGCCAGAATAAGAGAAGTTATGAGGGAAAATTTTGGGGTGCAACAAGCGGGATGCCCCAGTTTTTTCTTAAGTCTCCTTCATAGGTTTTGACTTAATGGGTTTTTATTTTGAGAGATAATGACTGCCTGTTCTTAATGATTATGTGGAACCATCACCATCTTTTGGAAAGCATTTTCTACACTATCTTTCGTGTATGAAGGGAAAGCTTGCGACTGAATGCACATCTGAATTAACTGAGAAAACTACCCTGCCCCAGGTTATGATTAAGGGTTTTAATTTGTGCAAAAAGAAAACTCGTACTTCTTAGGCTCAAAGGGGTTGACTAGGGATTATCTTCCTTATAACTCCACTATTTAGGATTTGAAACAACGCTTGTACATCGTCAGTGGGGTCTGTTCAAAAGCATATTGTAGAGACTATGTTATCGTTCTCGTCATCCTCCCTCAAAAGGCTTAGAGCTTTTAATCAAGAGTTGAATATCACAAAAAGTAAGTAAGAAATCAGTTTAAGCATAATGAAAACAAACTAATTCAAGACAAACATATGCAATACATTAATGAAATAACAAAGTTTGACATGACAATAATTGTTTGAACAAACAAAGAAAATACAACTTGAGAATTAAAATGAACAAAAATGCTCTCAATCCTAGCCATGATTTAGCATGAGAGCAGTGATCACGTTGGGAGTCTCAGGAGGGTAGAACTCAATCTCCTTGGTGTCAATCATATTTTGAATCTTGTATTTTAGTGCCCAACAATCGTTAGTATCGTTCCCAAGACTACCAGAATAATAGGCACACCTTGCATCAGGATTGTAGTTAGGAGAAGAAGTCTTAGGGTTTGGATGAGGTCCTATCAATGTAATCAAATTCATCCTTAACATATGTTGTAATGCTTGAGACAACGACATGTTGATCTTGGTAAACTGTCTCTTAGGCTCGTCTTGCCTTACCCCGTTGTGGTTGGAGAGGTTGTGGTTGGATCTGTGATGTAGCATCAATTTGGAAAGATACACTCTCCACCAAACCCATTTCTTGTCTCATCAGGGGCTGATTAATGACTTGATCCCCAGTCTCGACTATTTGCTTCATACGGTTGTATCCGTCTTGATGAAGTTTGTTGATAAGGGCTCTCAGCTCTTCTTGTCCCCGGGCTAGGATTTGGGTAAGAGCCATTGCCCCAGCATCTGGATTCTCATTTCTTCCATCTCAGATCGCAATTGTTCCAACCGGTCATCCTTATTGTTGTCAGGATGTTTCTTGGTCAAGTTCCCGGCGAGGAGTGCTTTCAATTCTTCCTGCCCCTTGTATAGGTTTAGGAACATTTACATGAACTGAGCCTCTTGAGTTTGGAGATCTCTGTTGTCTTGTTTGAGGGCCATTGTTGAAATAAACAGCGAGAACATGAGAGACATGTACTAGAGACTACCTGTTATGCAATGATATGTATGATATGCAAATGTTTTCAAGGAACTTGTGGGGTAAACAAGAAAAATGTTAGGCGTTGAACTGCAACTTTGATTAAAGAACTTTCGTATTGTTGAAGGTCCTTCTACGAGAATCAAGCTCACCATATCGAGTGGGTCATAGCCTCTGACTCAAGTTGTTGAGTTTTAATCTTTACCTGCATCACAAACCCTTGAGATCCTTGAAACGGTTAAGCAAATGTTGTGGAATGATGTTATAATATGTATGCTATGCGTTAAGCAAAAGTGTGAGGTGATGAAGGAAAGTAAGTCTAAGGAGTCCAGGTTACTGGATAATGAATGTAAACAAATCCTACAAGGAGATCATGTTGTTAGATAAAAACCCTGCAAGTAGCTCAACTTGAAAGCAAACAAATCACAAGCAGCCTTAGGTTTAGGCTTGCATGGGGTTTATAGGTAAGTAACCTCTTGAAGTTTAGTTGGCTCAACCTATCTTAGAAATAGTAATCAGGTTCTAAGGAGTCTCAATATCACTTATCTTTCTTAATCGAGCATTATTTCAGCTTAGCAATATTTTCTTGCGGCCGAAACATCCTGAAAGTCCGATCTCAATGAGTGTAGTATTGAGTATCAACCGATTCCCATCTTTACACCAAGGCCGACTATCTCACTACTTTCTAATGGCCAAGTTTGTTCAACTAAGGTTCTAAGGTTTGTTAGTGCTTCACGACACCATGCGGCGGCCCCGTATTCTCCTCGATTTAACACAAGGGATATCGGTACCAACCAAAGTGTCACACCAACACAGCTATCGCTTCAACCATATCGGTCTACACCGTACAGCCTCCAGGATCTATTGTTGTTTACCTAAAAGATGCCCCAGATTCGGGTATAGGATCTTTACAAGAAAACCCCAACACCCTCAAAGATAAAGCAGCCAAAGCAAACAAAGAAAGTAATTTTAAAATGATCTAGACCATAAGGTAAACCCCACTTTATAATAATCCCCAGCAGAATCTCCGGTTCTATGATATGGTGGGAGAACTGACTGTTAATACTGGTTTTTCATTTTGTATTCGCAAATGTTGCGGTAAGCAAGAGTCTCCACCGACTTTTCTTTTATCCAACATAGGAAAGGGTGAAAAGAACAGAAAAATACCTTTTTCGAGAGTTTCTGAGTAAGGGGGTAGATTATGGAAAGGGAGGGTGTTAGAACCCTTTCCATCCGTGGTTTTCCACGGGCTCTTAGGAACTTGCTCATTTTTTAAAATTGCTTTCGTGTTTGTGTGTTTTGAAATGTTTGTTTGCTTTATGATAACTCTTGTATCAGTCCTCAAGAGTGTTGATAAAGCATTTTTGAAAAGAGTTTTGAAAGTATGGTGTGAAATTTTTTTTTTTTGAGCAAGTACTTAATAGCTACCTACCTACTCGAAAAAAGGTGTTCTTTTCCTCCTTTCCTTTAGATAGTGCTATCCTACTATTTGTGAGTAGGTAGCCCTATCGTTGGATGTTGAGGGACTATCAGAGGGACGTTTACGGTCACTAAGGTAAATAGGCAAGAACTCTTAGTAACTGTCCTAAAGTTCTAAGATCACTTTTTTAACCGAGGCAACAATCAAGAGGGACTTGTG